TTTTTTTTTTTTAAGAAGCACTATTTTTAACAGGAAATTGTCAACATAGGGATTGTCATTTTGGAAGTCATTTTGTGCTTTGATTTTGATTCTTCTTGTTCTGCACAGGCATAATGTTTTTCACTCTTCCAACATGCAAAATGAGGGAGTATGTTAGTGTGAAGTTTTACTTCAGTATGACAATTAAACATATTTACACACACACACACACACACACACACACAATTATACGCTTTTTCTCCTGAATATAAAAGACTCCTTCTAGACCAGCCATTGCATCATCACATTGCTGCTATTAAGATTTGCACAGTTCAGCTTTATTGTATTAAAACACTCAGGGCTATGCTAAATGAGGGCTTGAAGACCTTCGTTATCCTTCTCTGAAGCATACCATTATAAAATCTGAGTTTCCTAGTGTCTCTGAAAATCCACTGACAGGTTCCACATGGTCTAAATATATAAGCGGTTTATATAAGTTTGGATCAAGTTGGTATAATGCCGTGCCTGGGCTTGCACTCAATCTTCAAAATTAGTCTCAGTGTTTTCAGAACGTTCCTTGAGATCAGCGAGACTGCCTGAGGCCGATGTAGCCTGCACTGGTATTGTCAGAACGCAAAATTCTGCTATTTTTGCATTTTTGCATCATAGCAACAATTACTGTAGTTATATATATATATATATATATATATATATATATATATATATATATATATATATATATATATATATATAATGTGTGTGTGTGTGTGTGTGTGTGTGTGTGTATATATATATATATATAATGACTATGTGCCACTAATTTTAGTCCAGCAAGTGATGCAGATTTGCCAGGAGATCAGGGAAAGTGTCAGGGTGGATTAATTTCAGCACATGTCATGACAGATGAAAAGAATGTTTCTTTCGTTTCACTCCTTCAAGGGAAAGGGTAAAAGCGTGTTGTCTTGGTGAAACAGGTCTCTCACTAGGCAGCAGAAGGACAGAAAAGGTCTGACTCACCAGGCAATTACCCACAGCACTCGATTTCACAGGCTGCTCTGATAATTAACTATAGAATATGTTAAATACTCCTGTAGCCACCTTCCTGACTTGAAAGTCTGCCCTTTGCTAAAGCTGAGCTTTTAACACATATTGAGCAGTGCCAAGATCACCTGAACGTGTAGACTACTTTCTTTAATTTAATTCTATCCATTAGAAGTGGACTATTAAAACTATATATGGTTCTGAAAACAACATACTTTTGAAGACTACATATCATATGATCATGAGTAAAGCTATAGCTTTTTAATGTCTGATTACCTCCAGAAGGAAGAAAATTGCATTTAAAGATTTAATTCTGACTTTGATGCAGGAGAAACAGAGATATTTTGACAGCCGGTATCTGATTACAAATTGAATCGATTAGGCTTTTGTTGATTACGCCATGGCACGTTGTTATCCAACAACTTGGCCAAAGCCTGATATTCACTGTGAGGAAACTTAGCTAGCAACATTTTAGACATCTTTACGCACATGGATATTGACCACTGTGTTTGTGAAACCGATTCCTTTACACAAAATTCTCTTTGCAACATTAAATCTTTATGCAAGATTCAGAAGTGAATAAAAACATTTCCACTTCCCTCTGGTGAAAAGTGTTTATGGGTTTTTCATTATTTTCTGTTAGTTCATTATTTTTGCTATTTCTTTTTTGTCTGTTTGCTAGAACACTGATAAGTGCATGTTTCCTTTCCCTCGCTCAAAGAAGTTACACTCTGCTCACGAGTCAAGTTTGTGACTTTGGAGGCAGGAGTAAGACACGTTCCGACATATCGACATATCCGACACGTTCCGGTCACTCTCAAACCAATCTCTCTTCCCCTTTCCACTTGAAACAGACCTAGAAATCCTAGATTTCCCAAAATGACAGCGAAGAATCAGTTTAATGCATTTGTCTCTCAAACACAAAATTAGTTTGCAGTTATTGCATTCTTATGCAAAATAAATAAACAAAATTCTTAACCATTAAAGAAAATGTGTTGATGTATGCATTGAAATCTCTAACGATTTGTAATGGTTTATTATGTTTAGTGATATGCCAAGTGAATTTCCAATCTATCCATCACAAAGAATCTGAATCCTATTTGCAAATGTCCAAAAATTGCCTGTAGCTCCATGTATATTTGTATTTTGCTCTCATTTTAAAGATATGTGGATTACATATCTTTACATGTAGAGTATTTACATTCGTCAACTGACTTTTCACAGGGAAACATGAACAAATATACAGCATAAATGCATATAATTTAAAATGGTGGCCTACGGGTTCATGTTAGCTACCTAACAAAATATTTAGTGTAACAAATATATAAAGTAAATACTTACATTTGCGTGACACTGTTCCATGTGTTCAGGCAGGCCATGCCTACTAGGCCATTTCTACTAAAGATACTGTTTAAATGGCAAATTGCCAGGTTAGCAAATATTCATTAACACTAATTTGACCTACATTACATTTGCTAGAATATGCGTTATCGGAGAAGAAAAAGTGTAATATTGTTTTATGGGAAACAACATCCCATGTGTGAGAGAGTAAAATTTTTAATTAAACACTTTAGTCATAATAATGGTATTAATTAATCCAAGATTATAATGTAACAGTAAAATAATAATATATGTTATAAGTAGGGATCATAAAAAAGTAGATATTAAAATGAGCTCATATATTTTAATGGAACATTCACCATCAGGGTATTTTTCTTCTGAGGGATAGGTGAAACTTCTCCACTAACATTAAGGTTAAGTGTTCTAATCACTCCATACCACAGCCTTTCTTAAGTTTCATATATGACAAATAGTGAAACTGGAGCAGTGTTATTAAAGTTAGTGAATGTAATGGGGCTTTCTGCACTTCCGCTGCTTTATGTTTCCAGGGAGTAAGGGGAAGAAATGTTAAATGAGTCTTCCGGTATCTCTAAAGATCCAGAGATTGCGCAGATGACAGATGACCGCCACAGACAGACAGTATAGAAGTAGAAACTGGCCACTGCTTGAAATATAAATGAATATAAATTTTCTGTCAGAGTTTAACAGCCAATGTTCAAAATCCATGTTTTAAACTCCATCTTGTTGATCAGTTCCTAGTTTATAGGTCTCTCCCCATTCAGGTAGATACAGTAAGAGCCTGGTCGTGTATGAAAAGACCCAGCAAGGAGTGTTGCCAAGATGGCCATCAAATGGACAAAACTTTCTATAGGGACGTTGCCAGAGATCCACAAAAAAAAGGCTTTTTTTTCCTGGCTTTACAGACAACCAGATGGCAAATGCACTCAGCACATCAGCAGTTTCTCTCATTCTGAACGAGAAGAGCTCTCAGCTTACAAAGAAAGGGCAAAGATGCATAATATCAGGAAAGTGCTCTGATTTCAGGTTAAGGGGCAGAGGAAGCCATCAACTTATCAGCTCAATTGTAACAAATGAATAAATGGAGTTGAAACAACTGAATCTACACCTTCTTCCTAGTTAACTTCTGCTAAATTCCCATCTTTCTCCACTGATGACAATGTTTCTGCACCCACCACCTCCCCATCTCCTTCATACTATTCAACAACTCCTACACAAGAGTCATTAGCAGAGGGTCTGGCTATTATGCACAAAACAGAATCTGCCCAGAACTGCACTCACAAAAATGTAAATGTGCATTTACATTGTCTGAATTCTCCTCAGGAGGCGAGAGGAAAAGTTTTATCAAAATTCAAGAATTATCAGCATGTGTTTGTGTGGTCTTCGAATCCATTTAAGAAAAAAAAATCCAGGTGTCCTTCAAGCAAAGATTTCAAAAACCATTTCAAAACTTGCTTAAGTGAATATGACAAATCATAACCAGGCACACCACAGATTTATAGGAGATGGTTCATTCCTGCTGATAGAGACTTGTGTTTATTGCCTGGCTGAGGAAATTTAAAGAAAAGATGATCCTACTTCGCTGTCTGAATTCATAAAATGCTGATCTAAGTGGTGAGACAGTTGGTCCCATCTGTCTCTCAGTCTGCTGGTCAGCACTCAAACAACACTATTACAGGTTACACAGGTGCTTCTCTAAATCATCACCCGGCCCACTAAAATCACTAGGTTTGAAAAAGCACCTCCAGACAGAACTACCTTCAGGTCAGTTTACATTCCTGACGGACTATAGAACTGAACAGTACTTTAACACACATTAATTCAAACCTCTGAAAGGATTGTAATTTAACTGATGAGCCGTTCTTGTGTGTAAGAGCTGGAGGAAAAAAAAAACAAAAACTTGTGGCTCTGCTGGAGCTCAATCTGCAAGTCACTCATTACTGAATACTCTTAATAGATTGTGATTCACATAACCGTACCTGCATCTGGACTAAGACAGGGTTTATGGGTAAGCACAGCTTACAGAGAAGCCAACGTACACCTTAACTAGTCCCACAGAACATCTAATATATTTTGCACCCTTTTCTGGCTATAAGATTTAGAATCTTGAAGGCTGAGATCAGTTTGACTCTCTGCACTCCCATATATATGACCCTGTGCAAGTTTCCAGCTAGAAGACACTTTTGGACACTGGGACTCACTGAGCTTTTTGTAGCAAGATTTAGTCACTAGACTGAAAAATGGTTCAGGGAATCTTGTTTTTAAAAGTTATTAAAGACTTTTGTTTGAAGCAGATATGGGTGAGTAAACAAGATAATCTCACCTGTTTGCCATTGGGCTACTGGAAAATCTCTGTGCTCGGCCATCTGCCATGTCAGTTAAAATGTCTTTCTGTGATGGTTGGTGTTTATTGGACTTTTTTTTTCTTTAACAAAACATACAAGACTCTCTGGAAACTGCCCAGACCTCACAGAAAAGCAAAATTGCTTGGCAGAGGAGGTGCAACATTATTCACACTTGCACATTTATATTTATGGCAGACACCCTTATCCAGAGCAACTTACAATTATCTCATTTATGCAACTAAGCAGTTGAGGGCCTTGCTCAAGGGCCCAGCAGCTTGGCAGTGCTGGGACTTGAACTCTCTACCTTCCGAGCAGGAGTTGGATGTCTTAACCACTGAGCTACCACATCCCTGCAGGATGTTTTCAAAACTTGTTAAAAACAGTGAAGGGACAATAAGAAAGGTCTTCAAAATGCAACAAAAGACAAATTTCAATCCTCAAGTACAGTATAAACCACTACATTTATTTAGAAGAGCAAGAAAGAAAAACACACATACTAATTAACACAGGCTGTACATTGAACTTAAACAAACTCTCAAACCCTTTTCAACACTACAGCTTGATGCACCAGAGTTGAACAGCAAGTCAAGGCAAATACATCACTTGCCTTTTTATTTTTACTCTACAGTGCTACTGCCGAAATTTCCACATTCTTTAATTTCTATTGTCATTTCAGATTTGATTTTTGTGGTGTGATAATGTTTTGGTGTTACTGGTGTTTGGATTTGTGCTGCTGTATTTTGATTTGTTTTCAGATTATGGTTTATACTGTGGTAATTTTGTAGTGTTATGCATCTCCAACAATGGCAACTTAGTAATTTTAGGGATATTAATTCACAACAGAATTTTAAGTGCTACGGAATGAAATCTTAGCTGCTGAGCTACCACTGCTCATAAAATGTTGAATATATTTTTTTTTTTAAAAATGAGCGTTAGCTCAAGCTGTGGGCCTGGTCCATTTCGCCCATTATATCAACTCTTATCCCACAGGTTTAACAGAGTGAGTGTCTCACCTGGATGAGCCTGGCCTGCTCAGTCTGCAGCATGTTGATCTCCTGGCTGATGCTGCTCTGGCCCTGCCTCAGCGCGCTGAACTCTGCCTTCAGCTGGCTGCCGTGGGCTGACAGCTTGGCAATTTCCTCAGCCAATTGGACAAGCAGTGCGCGCTCCTGTCCCTTCACTGACTTCAGGTCTGTGTCATGGTGGCTGAGCGAGTGCAGCAGTGACGTCTGTAACCCCTCCAGTCGCAGGAAGTTGCTGTTGTAGTCAGGGCAGTTGGGGTCAATGAAGATGTTAATGCGCGAGCCATCACCTCTCTCCACCGTCACCAGGGCATTGCCTTCGTCTTGATTGGTAGTGATGAGGGGTGGAGCATCAGGGCCTGAGGGTGCCTGGGAGTGGTTCATTAAGAGGATGGTGCCTGTTACTGTAACGGCTAGTAGCACAGCAACAAAGAGGAGAATGGTGCACAGGAGGTAACTACAGCTTGTCCTCTGTGAGAGAAAGACAAAGGATAGAGGGAAAAGGGGCAGGTGAAAAACAAGTGTTAGACAAATGGAAAGTGTAAGAGACAAAAGTATGCAAAATGAAAGTATTTAGAACGGAAGACTGGAGCTTCCCCACCAGAGACCCTGTTTATCTGTTTTAAAGATGTCATGTTCACTCACTGCTTTACAGTTGACACTTAGTAATTCACTTGACACTCCAAGCCAACAGCACATGTTAGGAAAATTAGGAACAAGCACAGTAATAAGTGGGTGTTTATTACTCCATTGCATCTTTATGAGGCGGTAAATCAACAGCCAGCACACACTACAGACAACACACATGTGCATGCTACAATTTGGATGTTTTCCCCCTGAGATCTATGTACTTTAATATGCACTATGTCTATATGTATGTACTGAAAAAAACAGCTGCTTGCAGAACTCTCTACTGAATGCCGGGGAAATTTACGATAATTATTTTTTTCTTCCACCCCCATGGTGGAAATCATTATACTTTAGGGGTCGTGAGCTGAATTCCTATCACCCTGCTGTGTGCTGACTGTTTACAATACACCCATGGAGAGACACTAACCACAACAAGCCTGCAGGACTCGTTTCCTCACACTCTACTGAATCTTCTGCAGTCTCTGTCATATTTTTTGAAGGATAATAAATATGCACAGAAGATGCCAATCTACAGTCATCATTAGGCTGCAGAAGAGGGCAGTCTCTGCAGAATAAAGCAATAATGTCTGATGTCTGCTGGGATTAGAAAACCTTGCCTCTGGCCCCCATGTGAATAAGAGCATCACATTTGGCTGCAAAACAAGAAAGGCTTGCACCAGGGTGTGGGGACGAATGCAAGCCATGACATGGGCTCCTTCCTACAAAGACACACAGAACCTTGGTAGAAAATCAATAGAAGTATTTTAAACTTTTCAAGAAAAGACAAGATAACCCTTATTGTTCCACATTTTCTTGGGCTTTCCAACCAATGCATTATTAACTGGGGTGATAAATCATAAATATATTAGCTATCCTACCAGGCAAATAAATGCTCCAGTGTGCTGGTCGGTCCCTTGTTTTGGTTTCCTGTATAAAAAAATGATAAAAAGTGGTAGCTAATATAATGTAACAATGTATGGAAAGCTAGTCTATACCATTTGGAAGCTTTACCGTTTGAATGACCACACATTTCTTTACTCGAGACTGCATTGATGAGTGTTGCCTAACTGCCATGATCCATCTTCCAAGCTGCCCGAACAAGGCAAGCTAATGTACTCTCCAGTAGTACTGTAGGATTAACTAAACTAAAAGTTATAATGCTGTGTTTAATAACGCTCTCCAGTTCTTCTGCTCCACTCCCAAAAATCCAGAAAGATATGCATAAAAGGAAACTTGGGACAGGGTTTCATTGTAAATAATGACAGGCCTATGATCCAAAAATCACATATTTAAAATATCAAAATATCTTGCACTTGCGCAGCATTGGAAAGGAAGACATACCTAAGCCTATAATGCATATATAGCATCAATTTGTGCATTCAAAAACTCCATAACCCACAAGAAATCTAATCCTAGATCACAGGTCCCAGAAGTCCACCGTGGGAGGGCTTTGGGGGGCAAATTCTGACTCACTGAGACGGTATGCTATGCTACACTACACAGCATGTGTATAAAGCATCAGTCTTGTCTTCCTCTGTGAAAGTGAGGACCTTTCAAAGAGCGCCTCTAGGGGACCAGCAGAGCACAGGGCTTTTTAAACATTTTACTAGAAAACGCCAGTCGGAATACCAATCAGGGAGCCAGTGACTGTAGACATTCCCACACACGTACACACACGCACTTCCACCATCACCCTGCTCATCTGGCCCCAGACAATAGTGGATCGAGATCATGGGGCCATGCTCAACCAGGCATGAACAGTATTATGAGAAGAGCTTTTATGTGTCGTCACTGGAGCGGCACTGGTAAGGCAAAGGACATGAGAATAGAGCCAAGGGTATCTAAAATAAAAGCATAGCAGCATTCTCCTCTTCAGCTCATTTTTCAGTGGCATTGCACCCATGGCAGGGTGGCACCAATAGCACTGAGGTCAGAACCAGAGTAGAATATACAAAGCAGGAGAGCACTCAGTGATTACTCTGGTTCAAAAGACTCACAAAAAAGATGCCTTCAGTCAGTCTTACCTCCCTGTTGCTTTTAAGCTTGAATAAAGTGCAGGTGCTCCGGAGAGAAAAGGGTTATTGGGCAGATGGATGGACAGATAAAGAGGCGCAGCTTTCTTTCAAGTGATCAGTTCTATAGTCATGGGCCTTTTCTTTTTTAATGATCCAATCAATACTGTGTAATAAAAATGTGTGGTCCTGATATTCCATCCAAATGGCTACCTCCATGAATGAAGACATTGCAGGTTTTGCTCCCCCTTAATGAAGCTATGATTCGTGGAGTCAGATTCAGAATGGTTCTTTCATGGACACATCAATTGGTGTGTTTCAGTGTACCGAATAGCCAGTGCCATTGGTCTAATAGTGAATGGTCTAAATAGTGCCATACACAATAATGGTTCATTGAATGAGCTTGTCTTATGAGCCAGTGGTTCTAATGGTGCTTGTTTGGTGATGAACACAACACCAGTACTCAATACTTAGCGACTGTTCTGCATATGACCCAATATGACTGACAATATGATTATCAGACAAAGAGTAACTCAGTGACCCTCTCTGCCTATTACAACAGCACCACCCACCAGGAAATTTGGAAGGAAAATATAGTTCTTACTGTTTTACTGGCTATAACCCTGAATTATACTGGCACACTAATAACTGGTGGTTAACAACTACATTATTCTGACATTTCTCTAATAAAAATTAACTTGACTGAACTGCAGAGGTTAAAAAAAAAAAAAAAAAAACTTTTGTCAGAGCCAATAGGAAGCGTCCACCAAAGGACTGCCAAGTTACTGACCGATAAAATAACACCCACACATACAAACAATTTGGTGTGCGTCAAAACCATTGCAATGTGAAACCAACCGAACCAAATGAAAAGATGTCACAAAGCCACAAAACACACCTGGTACAGATTTCAGCAAACAAACTCAGTGTAAAAATGGACCATGGTTCATTAGGAACGATACTGCACTTGTTATGAGTAACAGGATATTAAAAATGACCTTTCATGAATGTCATGTCTAGAACTGTAACTCTATATAGGTTTCAATACATTGCATCACTCACACATTGCAATCTGTTAGTTACATCTTCCAAAGAAAAACAGATAATCCACTGCAATATGTCCAACATGTTTCATTTTTATATAGATAAAGGCTCCAGCTGATCTGTGTGTGATGGCTGGACCAGCGCTGAATCCCTGGGCTTCTCATATAACTGAGAGGAGGCCAGAAATAAAATCAAAACACCGATCTACCTGCCAACTACACAAGCTGCAGACCTCACTGTGGCTTCCTCATTATATTACAGGCCAGACAGGGAGCTCAGTTTCGCCTACGACTCATTCAACAGGATATGTGCTACAGCCTTTAGGATTAGATAAGCATGAATCTCGGCTCAAGAAGCAAAGCACTGATGGATTTTTTTTTGCACTTTTAGCACATATGTTTCTGAATTTGGTTAATGGGTTGAATCTTGCGGACAAGGCAGATGGATGTGTGGGAGATCAAATGATCCAACAGCTGGATTGATGTGCGAACCAAATAGACAGATTTTTATTTTATTTTCGTGGTCCAGAGTCTCCAGAGACCGGTTGATATGTATCAAGCTATTTTAGCCTAAAACTTTGTTACCTCTGCCTGAAGATTAAAACCCGGCCACAGATTAAACTTTCAGCAAGACAGATAATTC